TAACAACATGTGCAGTTTTACCAATATAAACTAGGAAATAACAGATGAAAAATAGCCAAAATGTCATAAATACCACCTCTGTGCTTTTCTTGTTGGGTAACTTTTCTACAGTGAGGCATATGAGATTTTTTTGTTGTTGTTTCGGGTGTGTTTGTTTTTGTTTAAAGGTTTAATTCATTCTCACTTGTGTGCCCTTGTGTCGGCCACGTGCATGTGGGTCCCCTCTGAGGCCAAAAAAGGGTGTGAGATTCCCTAGAGTTGAAGTTACAAGTGACAACGAGTAACCTGACATAGGTACCAGGAACTAAACTCAGGTTCTCTGGAAGAGTTTTGTCCTCTTAACCACTGAGCCATCTCTCCAGACCACGCTCAACAGTGAGCAAGCAACGTGCAGGTTCCTAGTGAGTTTTACAACTCTACAAGGAAAGCCTGAATCAGAAGGCACTCTTGTAGGTGAGTTGTATATTTTCTTTTCTAGATGGACATGTACTTCCTGACTGGCTGCAGGGTAGCGTTGGGACTGTTTGACTGTGAAAGCAATGGTGTTATTGTCCTGTAGCCCAGAGAGACTTGTAATGAGACAATATAAATCTGAGGGCAGAAAAGAGTGGAAGCCAAGGTCAGGTCTCCTCGCAACACGCAGACATGCGAGAACATGATGGTGCAAGTTTTGCCATCATCAAACGGAGATGCCGAGGGACCTATCTTCGATCCTGGGTCTCCACATGCTGATCAAGCACTGGTCAGGTCTACATCCCCCGCACCCCACTGAGCTGCCAGAAGCCCCTTGCCAGTGCACCAGCTACAGCTGAGCCTGCCAGGTTTCCATTAGGAGATGCACAGGTAAGGTACTGCCAGTTTCCCCTGTTTGACCAGGGCTGCCAAACTGGATAAGAGATCAACAAAGAAAACAACCAAGTTCGCCAGAGTTAAAATGAGGAGTTTTCTCTAAACCCTAACAATAACTACAGCAACAAAACCAATGATTTTTTTTCACCCAATGGAAACAAACAAAGCTATGTCCTGGACATGGCTTTCTTGAACTTGGATCTAGTGCAACTGCACATTTGGGATAATAAACGAGTCCTGTTTGGCTTCTCTTCCTAGGCCATCTCTGATCAGCACAACTCTATTCAGATTTACCTTGAAGACGAGATACAACATTTACAAAATCTACTCAGGGCTCTTTGTGATTCGGCCTGTGGCCAATGTTGGGGACCCTGTCTGTAATATCTTACTCTAAATGAGATGAAAACCCAATTGTGTAAGCACAGCAGAGTTTACACCCCAACCCACCCCCCCCCCATAAGGATGTGACTATGTCATCACTGGTGGGGGTCTGCAGTGTGAGCCCACAAACGTATTAACCAGTCTCGGTGGATGATTCAAATGTGCATTTTAATTATGATCAATTTAAATGACCCTGCATGCAAAATTGCTACACTGTCATTATCAGGGGGGAAGAGAATGCCAACACTGAAGATAAACAATTCTCTGCCAGGATTACATTATTTCCTTGTTGTCCTTAGCTAGGCCCGGGGAACACCTGAAAATCGGAGGTTCAGTCATAGGTACAAAGCAATGTGTCTTTGACATTTTGGTCCTGGTAACTCTCTGCTCTAGGGCCATCCTGCATGCCACAGGCTGTCCTTGGCATCCCTGACCTCTACCTACAGGACACCAGTAGTGAACTCTCTCCAGAGCACCAACCACAAATGTCTCTAAACACATACCAGTGCTACCTGGAGGGGGAAAAAAACTACTTCTATTTGAGAATCACTACAATAAGAAAAAAAAATGAACACCTGGAGCAATCGTGTCACCGGTTCTGAAAGATATCCCCTCTAACGAGAAAGAGCCAGGTCTTTCTAGGAAAGCATTTGATGAGAAAGGCAGGCTGGACACAGGACAATAGGACAATTGTCTCAGCTTGCTCTCCTCAAAACTGTGCAAAGGGGTGAGGCTTTAAAATAAGGATAGGCCCCAAACATGGATGGAAAATGAGAATATCCAATAAGAAGTAGGGTCACCTCCATCAGAAAACAGATGGAGTCACAGTAACTAAGTGAAGCCTACATCCTAGAGCCTGGATGGATGCTGAGGGGGTGAGGGCCAGCAGCATCGCAGGGAACCAGAAGGGTTCCAGCAGATCCTACCCCACAAAATGCAAAGAGAAGAGACTGTTTCCAAGCAGCTTTGCCACCTCTCCAAAGTATTTATGGAAATACAAAAATATCTAGCACCCAACAAAGTAGAAAACCAAAGATAAGTCTACAGAACTTGGGGCCTCTTTGGAAAAGAAGATCCAAATCAATTACTGAATTCTTAACCTTCAAAATCCTTTTAAGTGAAGGATGAATTAAAACTAAAGTTAAGTAGAAGACTGGAATGAATAAAGGCCAGCGTCAGTTGAGCAGAGAATATAAAATCAACAGTGAAAATCAATGGAATGAGAGCTGGTTCATTGGGAAGACAAAGATTCATTAATCCCCAGAATGAAGGACAGGGAGGGGAGATCCACATCACCAGCACACAGAATTGGAGAGTAATGTCATCATAGATGCCACAGGCAGTAAGGGCAGAACCAGGGAAAATCATAGGCAACTTCTCACTGACGATGATGTTTCCCAGCGAATCAGAGGCCTGGCAATGTCTTCCCACCCCGGTCTTCCCAGCCCAACAGAAGCCAGACTTGTGAGAGAACAGGGATGCCAGGGGGATAGTCTGCTGTCAGAAAAGTCCCATAAACCTGATCCACATATGTAGACCAGATACTGACCCTAGGGGGATAGTCTGCTGTCAGAAAAGTCCCATAACCCTGATCCACATGTGTAGAAAGGATACTGACCCTTCATCTTAATGATCACTTGCTGGCTCTAACAGGACATCTTGATCCTACATGAGGCCAGGAAGCAGGTCAACGATAGGCTGAGAATCCTACCATGGGCCATCCCAATCTGCTACAGCCACGGTGGGACCTACCAGGCCATTCCATGGCCCTCAGAAGAGGGGCAACCCTAGCAGTTCCTTGCCAAGTCAGATGTCTATCAAGTGCTAACAACCGTTCTTAGAAGCCTATAGAACGGAGCTATTTCTCAGACAGCAGGAAGAAGGGACCTGGGAACCAAAAGACAGACAGAATCTTCAGATTGCTGTCCCCCCTGCCCCACCCCGTTTCAATTCTGAATTTCCAAGGAGGAAAATATTCTGGAACCCCACTGCTTCCAGCTGGCCTGGAGCTGAGGTCCAGCTGCAGGACCCACAGGACACGAGGGTCCCAAAAACTAAACACAAACAACAACAAAATGGTTTACCATTAAAGTTCACCACCACCACCACCCCCCCCAAAAAAAAAAAACAGACCAAGGGTATCACAGCACCAGAAGAGACCTCAGCAACTCTAGCTCTCTGGGCCATCTGTATGCTGTGTCACACCTACATTCATTCATGAAAACTAAGCTGATGTGTGCCCTGTTTCCCAATGGCATCAGTGACAACACTTTCAGGAGAAGAAAGATGATCCTGTCCACCCCACCCCCCAGCCGTTTACCAGGACTAGAATCAGTACCACTTGGGAAGCCCACGTGAAGACAATGGAAGCTACTTGAAAGCCTGAGGAAGACAGAGGGCGTCGGGAGACACACAGCCTTCAGTGATCTCAAGGTCATGTGCCTAGTGGCTGCCTGCTCTTCTAAGCCACCCCTAAGCCTCTTTTTCTTTTTTATTTGTTTTATTCATCTCTATACCACTGAGGGCTTCCCCCATACTGCCTGTAAACCCCTCACAGGGTATGATAAAAAATAAATGTGGACAACAGAAAGGTTTTTCCAGCCTTTCTGGAAGCTGGAGGCAGGCATCGACTATCCTATCTCCCATGTGCCTTTCCCACAGGTAAGCAAGCCTAAGACTAAGCTCCATGCTGAGCTATTTTATCTGCTGTTGTGGGTGATGCACAGAATGCCGGTTTCCTTTTAATGAGTTCCTTTTCTGGCTAAACCAGCTGACGAATTTTGTTTAGTATTGGGAAGCCTTACTGAAGAGCTATTGTTGGTTTTGGCAGCATAGAGGGAGGGAAGGAGGGAGGGAAGGAGGGAGGGAGGGAGGGAGGGAGGGAGGGAGGGAGGGAGGGAGGGAGGGAGGGAGGGAGGGAGGGAGGGAGGGAGGGAAGCAGACACACAACCAAGCCTCTGTGCAAACCTGCCAAGACCCCAGCAGCGGCACCGAGCAGAGTGTTTTAGCTGTGGAGACTGGCCTATGTCCACCCCAGCTTCCTCTGAGACTATGAAATCAGTAAGGAAATCACTTGAACCCATGAGTCATGAATGTCTGCCACCAGAGAAAAGGAAAGAGACCATCAGTCAGAATAGTAGTGGCAACTAGGACCCATCCAAATGCGGGACATTTTTCATCTGGAATAAAGAAATAAAATTACATTATGCATAATCCTCACTTCGCTTTGAAAAGGAAGCCAAGAAAGTTACAACTCCACCCTAGATGACATTCCACAGGTCATGTTCCTAGAGGTTCCTTGGGTTGACCCACAATGGGTCACTAAGGTCAGCAGCAGCAGGAAGGATGCTATCATGTGAGAGCTGTTTTCCTGCTGGACCACAGATGCAGAACTCCACTCACCTTACACATGTGTGCACACGTTCACACACACACACACACACACACACACACACATACATACACACACACACACACACACACACACACACACCAAGTTTCTGAGAATGTTATTAATACACCTCAACTGGACTAGAGAAACACTGCCCTGAAGCACCTGGAGGGTTTAGGGCATGGTACACTATCATTACAGACATCCTTGGCTCACCGACTCCTCACCAGTTTCCTAGGGTCCTTTAGCCGCTGGACTCTGCTCCATCACCCTTTTCCCCCCTCCTGGGACAGAGGCCCTATCACAGAGGGCGGTGAGAAAATAGTTGAGAGTGAACAAACACAGGAAGGACAGAAGGAACAGAGAGATGGCACGGTACCTGAGCCGTCCCCATTATGGCTGGCAGGGTGCAGGCTGGGGTTCGCGAGCTGCTGTGCAATCACGCAGTACTATGGCCGGGCCTCAGATGGTGGGGAACCCTAAGATGAGGAATGGATAGAAATGGGGAAAGATGATAAAAAAGGGTAAATAACCTCCCCCGGGGGGGAAAAACATGGAGTATACATTAAAAATAAACAACCGGTAAAGATTAAGTAGATTAAGAACAGCAATAGAGAGTGCCACACTAGGTGCACGCAGCATGCATAGTTGTGAAAAATACCTCAGTTTTAAAGCAGGGTTTGAAATGATAAATGTGTTTAACCGCCTTCAAATACCAAACAGAGAGAAAGAGAAAAACTATGCCTTAAATCAAGATCTGTAACTCCTTCTGTAACTTGGTGTAAAACACAAGCCAGGCACACTGGGAGACGGAAGTGATACCAAGTGTTAGACATATGAAAGGACTATAACCCCGGACAGCACTGAAGGTCATGCTGACTTTAAGTGTTAATCCATGTGTCTGACAGACTTCAAAACGCGTTACTTTTTTCATCCCTTAAATACTAACACATGAAATCACCATTTGACCAAGTAGGAACCAGATGACCGAGAACCTTGGCTCCATATCATACTAGAAAATATGATGTTCTTTGTCTCACATTGAACTGGCAGAATCACAAAACGCTCTCCTATATGCACTGTATGTGACCCTTCAAAGTCACAACCATGGCACATTATTCTCCTGAAATTTATGAATGCTGTGTAGTGTGACAGTGTCTTCTGAAAACTATTTTGTCACCTATATCTTGGACAAACACCAGTTTGATGACGGGTCACTAAGTGCCAAGTAAATACTTGTAAATGTACAATGCTAAGAAGCCGAGGATATGAATCTCTTAACAAGTACATTTGGAACATATTCATTACATAATATACAAACTCAGAGTCAGTTTTACTCATTTCTCCTTACCAGTTTACACAAACCTTCCACGGTTGCCTATCCACGCAAATTCTCGTCTAGACATCAACCATCAGAACCTTGTTAGAATAGGACATTTACTTGTCCTATCCACCTCTCTCCACATTTGTGAGTAAAGAGCAATTTGGGTCTTTTTCTGGTACTGAAGGGTCACAGTTGGGCTGGGAAGATGGTTCAGTGGGACAAACACTTACTGTACCAGTGTGAGGACCTGAGCTAGGATTTCCCAGAACCTACACAGAGCTGGACATGTCATGATGTGTCTCTAATTATAACACTCCTACAGAGAGATGGGAAACAGAGACAGGAATATCCCTGGAGGGTCATGGACCAGGTAGTCTGGCATATTCAATGACAAACAAGAGACCTCCATCTCAAACAAAGCAGAAGGACCAACACATGAGGCTGTGTCTGATATTCATTCATTCTCCATGCATGCTTACACTGATGTGAACATACACACCCATGTATGCCCAGAGAGGGGAGAGAGAGTGCACATCATAACTGACCCTGTAAGTCCAAAATTCTTAGTTACTGTGCTGTGTCCAGTTATCCCAATTGCTAAGAACTGTGCAGAAATTTTTGTATGTTTTTCAGTTTTGTTTGCCCAGAACAGATCTCTAGAAATACCACTGCGGAGTAAAGAGATACGTACAAATTTCGCATAGCATTCTACCAATGTGAGTCTCAATTTACACAGTCACATATTATAAACCTTTGGGGTTTTTTACCTCTGGTGGAAACAGAAAGTTTCTTGCTATTTCCATGGAGTCTGGAAGTCATTTAATTGGTTATTAAGCAAGTGTCTTCTTGTGCAAACTGTGTTCCTTTGGTTTTCTTTCAGGGTGTAGAGTTTTAACTACTGTGTAGGATATCTTTATATATGTCAGACCATTACTATCAATAGTAAATGTCTACCTTTTAGTGTGTGTGTGTGGTGTTTGTGCGTTCATATATAGTGGCACACATGTGTACCCCACAAACATGTGTGTGTGTGTATTCATATATAGTGGCACACATGTGTACCCCACAAACGTGTGTGTGCATTCATATATAGTGGCACATATGTGTACCCCACAAACATGTGTGTGTATTCATATATAGTGGCACACATGTGTACCCCACAAACGTGTGTGTGTGTGTGTGTGTGTATGCATGCCTGTGCCTATGGAAGACTGAGACTGATGCCTGTCCTCCTCTATGGAGGGCCTCTCACTTAAATCCAGAACTCAGGTAGTCTAGCAAGCCAGCTTGCTCTGGAGATCCCCCATCTCTGCTAGGTGCTGGGATTTCTGTGCTAGGATTACAATGGGGTTACAGGCAGGTTGCCATGCCCACCAGCATTTGCATTAGTGTTTGCAGATCCAAATTCTAGTCATTGTGCTTGTATAGGAAACATTGTATCCACTGAGCTATCTCTTCAGTTCAATGTGAGACAAAGAACATCATATTTTCTAGTATGATATGGAGCCAAAGTTCTCAGGCAAATGTTTTCTTTAAATTTGCCCTCAACCTACTGGGTTCCTTAATGGTAATTTTTCAACAACTGAAAACATAATACTTACTTGAGTGTCTAAGTCTATCAGATCCCCTGGAGCAGGACTTGGTGGTGGTTATGAGCCACCAGACATCAGTGCTGGGAACTGAACTCAGCTCTTCACTGCTGAGCTATATATCCAGCCCTTAAATTTTCTTTTAAAACTTCTATAACTATTTTAGTTTGATAGTATACTGTGGCAGTGTTTTTTATTCTTTTTTATTTTATTATTTTAATTTTAAATAGCTTGCTTCATATGTCAATCCCAGTTCCCTCTCCCTCCCCTCCTCCCTCACCCCCCTACCATCCCTCCCCCCAGCCTCCCACCCTATCTTCCTTCCTAATAGGGGATATCTAGAGTCTGTCATTTCACTCAGGGCAGGGGCCATGCACTCCCCTAAGAGTCCAGGCTGAGAGTGCATCCCTCTTTGTGTTATGGACACACGAAGTCCGTTTGTATGCCAGGGATAAACACTGATCCACTGCTCAGGACCCCATAGGTAGCCCAGGCCTCCTCACTGACTCTCACATTCAGGGGATCCAGATCAGTCCCATGCTGGACTCCCCGCTGTCCGTCTGGGGTCCAAGAGCTCTCCCCTGTTCAGATCAGCTGTCTCTGCTGGTTTTGCCAGCCCATTCTTTGCCAATTTGCTCATCACTCCTCTCTCTGTCACTGGGTTCCTTGGGTTCAGTTCAGTGTTTAACTGTGGGTGTTTGCCTCTGCTTCCATCAGTCACTGGATGAAGGTTCCAGGATGGTTATAGACATCAAGTTCATTATCAGGAATGGGCATTCGAGGTGGTCTCTCCACTATTGCTTAGCTTGCCAGTTGGTGTCATCCCTTTAGATCACTAGAGGTCTCACTGGTGCCTGATCTGTCTTCTAACCTGTGATTCCCTCTTCCCCCTATTCTACCCCCCACTGAATTTTCCTGTTCCCCCATGACCTACTCTCTCTTCCTCTTCTCCCCCTCTCTTAAAATCCAACAACTATCTAAAAAAAAAAGAGAAACTAGGAGAACATATTTATCTCAACTATGGCAGAAAAAAAACATTCTACTGTGTGTTAAATCATTGAAATGAATGATATAGTAATATTTTGACTCATTGAAAGCTTCAAACCGCAATGTGGGTGACTCCGACAAACAAAAGGTTGGGCAAAGCAAGCCAGGCTTCAAGGAGAGGCACAACTAAATCTTATGAATGTCTACATATGCAGCACAAATGACAGGAAAAGACACGATCATCAAAGGGAGGGGGGAGGGGACGGCATTCACCCGAAGGATCTCAGCATGAGTCACAGTTGCTAAGACGTACTCTGTCTCGAGCACATATTTTACACACTCTTCCTTATTCACACTGGCCATTCCTTGTCCTTGACTTTGCTTCCTACAGATCCATTTACCAGGGTTTCAACTAACTACAAACATAACGATTTAAAATTAAAACAGTAAATTTTAAGCAAAAAAATAAAACTTCTATAACTATTTTAATGATCATTATGTGTAATGTGCTTAAATTTTTAAGTTGTGAATTGGAAATTAGTTATATTTTCTCTCCAGTAGACAACCAACTATCTGAGAAATTTTACTGAAGAAACATCTATATTTTCTTAATTTGAAAGTACCATTCATATAAAAAAATTCACAGATGTATTCATTCCCTGTAGCATTCATGTTTCTCCTAGAACTGAACCTACAATTCATATTTTTTAAACTCTTTGCTAAACAATCTTACAAAGTATTCTCATGAGTTAGTTTAGGTCCCCTAAATCAAGTCACCTCTTACCTTACGCACTTTCACTGTCGCTCCAAACGGGAAACTAAGCTGCTGTGAACTAACTCATATACATGCACACGAGCCTGCACACGTGCAGACAGACAAACACCTGTGGTAGAATATTATTTTAAGGTGTGTGACGGTTGTTTATGATGCATCTGTTTAATTCAGTGAAGCTGTGTTACTGTGCCCGTCTAAAACACCTGATGGGCTAATAGAGAGTTGAAGGGCCAATAGCAAGGCAGGAGCCAAGGCTGACAGGGCTGGCAGGGGGAGAGGATAAATACAAGGACAAACAAAGAAAACAGGGGACAGCAAGAGAACAATGAAAGGAGAACCTTAGGGGCCAGCCCAGCCACCCAGCCACCCAGCCAGTCACGGAGTAAGAAGTAAAGTAAGGTATACAGAAATAAAGATAAAAGCCCAGAGGCAAAAGGTAGATGAAATAAGATAAGCTGACCAGAAACTAACCAAGCTAAGGCCAGGCATTCATAACTAAGACTAAGCCTCCATGTGTGGTTTATTTGTGAGCTGGATGGCGGGCCCCTCAAAAAGACCAAAAAGGCCAAAGAGTAAAAGGAGTAAAACTTCATACAATAAACAACCCTCAGAAGTAACATGAGTTCACAATAAATTTGCCATTTAAACACCTCTCTGTACCAAGTATCGGTCATAGTTTATGGCCCTTCCAAGTCTCCCAGTTACTCCTTTTTCATCCCAAGGCATTTTGTGAGGCTATGGTTTCTGGCACGGGTCCCAGTTTCCCGTTTCTTTACCATGTGCAATGCCATTGGTGATTTTTAT